ATTTCGCAAAGTTTTAAAAAAAAGATACGAATTAAGCTTCAAGAAAAAATTGGCAATGAGCATTTCATACTGTATCTTTTTTTAATATTATTTTTGAGATGCGATCACAGTTCTTGTAACTAAATCTCGTGATTTGAAAAGAACCAATCGGTCACTTTATTTTCCTCTTCTGATGCTACTAAAGCTACGAACGAGCTAAGTTCGACAATTGCATTTAGGGAGAGTTCATTTAGAGAGGGCTCAATGTAATAAGATCGATTCGATGTTACATAAATTTCTTTTTTAACGAATGATTAATTCTACTATTTCATAATATTTTTATTTTCTTGAACTCAGCTTGAGCTTGAAATTCAAGTTTCTGCTCAATTTAGCATTTCCAAAGTTTATTTGTTTTTGTTCGTTATGAATTTGAATATTCGAGTAAAATAAATAAAACATATTACTGTTACTGTCTTCGATATACTTAGTTCTTTCATTTAAAGATTTTTTGTTGAATGGCAATAGTATTAAAGCATTAATAAACTGTTTTTGTGAATCTTTCTATAACTTATTAACTGGAACTTGACATAAAGCAATGACAATATGAAAGCTTAGATAGAGTATCTACATCTTCTCAGCACTTTGAAGCGAAAAAGTAATATTATTATTGAATAGGCGCGGCTTTACATAGAGAGCATCCTTCGATATGAAAAGGTATTTATTAGAAAGCTTTAATGGTGTATTTTCTCTTTCATTTCACATAAAAAGGAGAATGTCATGCGACCTATAAAATTCAATTGAATTTCTCTTATCTCATCCGTCAAAACCTAAGATGCAAAATGGTGTGTGTTTATTATGTATATTTTCGAGTAATTAATGAAAAGCATGATTTAAGCCTTTTTTAAAAAATTATATGACGTGAATCAGCGAAATCTAGACCTTCATTTGTGAAAATTTTAATTGAAGTTTTGGTTTTTTATTATTCAAGCTGTAGAAAATTTTGAAACATCGAATTTGCATAAAGCCCAATATAAGGTCCCGAATAATCAACAAAATTCAAGTCGAATACGAATACAAATAGTATTACCTAATTTTTGATTCTTCTGGTTCAAATCTATTTATCACTTGTAAACAAATTGATCCAATGAAATTCTTTGTTACAACGAATTTTGCTTCACATAAAATTTGTTAAACGCGATCATTCTAAATGTAAATGCAATTTTCTTGTGTGTCCATTAGATTCGTTGAAACGAGGTTTCATTATAAGCACATTTTATTTTAAACTTTTAAAATTTTCAAAATATAACAATAATAACAATTTAAAGTTCCGGTTCATTTGGAGCCTTAATCTAAGCTTGCATATGATATAAATTCAATTGATTGTTACTATGTATGTTTTGCGTGATTAACAAAACATGTACTCCGATTCTTTTGTAAATATATTTTTATTTCGAGATTTATACGTATCATGGTTGAAGGTGTGGTCATCAACAACATTCCGAGATGGGATTTGTTAATTAATGGATTACTTATTTGCCAAGTCTTATTTCAAAGCTCCGTAGGAATTACCCGAGAGAGATGATTTTGATATGGTTAACAATTTACGCAGTCAATGATTACAATCCACACAGATAGAACCAACTAATGACAATTAATCAAATAAAATAAAAGGCAAAATAAAATAATCAAAAATAATAATAAATTAAATTAATGAAGCTCTTGATACAATGTTTCGAAGAGTTGCACAGTATGTCATATAGAATTGTTGTTTGGTGCACAAAAATAAAACGCATCTGTTTATTATTTAATAAGCCATCTTCTTTTAATGTGTGATTGTTCTTTATTGTATTATAAGGACACAACGGCGAACAATATCGTAACATTGATATAATCGAATGGTCATCGAATAATAATCCTGGTCTCGACGCGATACAGAATATGTGGTACATCATTGGAATAATGTTGGTAAATTCCACAAGAGAAGATAAATTATAGGTATAGATGTGAGAAAAAATGGAGCTAGAATTTCTTATTATTTAATATGCATGTCAGCATTTGTTTCAATGTTTTCTAGAATAATAATAACAAAGGATGCATTTATTACAAGTCAGTTTTAAATGAACATGTTTGCAAAAAAAACTCTTCGCTTGTGATACTTGAAAGAATTATCGGCAAATGCTCATTGGAAATATGTTACTGGTCATGAAAAATGATACTAGTGAGCGAATTAATGCAATTTATGGTTGAAAATCCATCAGGAAAAGTTGAAATTTTAGCAAGTCTAAAAAAACAAAAGATGCAATTAGCTTTACAAAAAAAAAAAAATGTCAATGTTAACAAATACAGTATAATTGACTACATGCGGATTTTTTTACCGATCAATAAATGTAAAAAATTTTAATATAAAAATAAACAAAATTCAACTCTACCTCCTCTTTACTTATCAAATAGACTTCTATTTAAAATTAGTATATAACTACTACATAACATATACTTCAACATAATTGTTTTATTTTTTTAATTTTTTGTTTATAAAAAAAAGTTATACCCAAAAAAAATTTACAACCATTAAGTGGAAGAGTAAGTTCCAAGCCTTCATTTGATACTATTTTTATAACAGTAAGAGAAGGATTGGTGGGCTAGATAGATTTTGGAACTTTCGTAGTGATATTTATTATATTATATTAAATCCATTTTTAGAAAGATCATCGAACGCATTTTTCGCAAAATCTTATAAAATTTAATGTTTTTGTACTAATACTAACTAAAACTTAAAGAAGTGAAAATCAATTATCATTAATAACAATAAAGATTTGCTGATTATGATTTGCATCATGTTTTTAAATTTTTAATTACTAGTTTTACTAGTTTTTTAGATCTTGGAGAATCATGAAATTTCATATGTTTAATATCCAAAACCAACCTAAATTATAAATGGCTTTTTTATTTACTTTTTACTATGGGATTTTATAGAATTTTTAAAAACCTGCTTTGAATAGTTTTTTCCAGGTACTTTATGCAAATATTTTAATGTAGATAAATTATATTTTATTATGTTAGTAATTTACATAATTACGAAATAATTTTTTTTGTTTAAAATTGATCACCAATTTACCTATATAATAAAAAATCCTCGACTATTGTCATTGAGATATGCAAAATTTTTCTTTTTTTTGCAAAGTCAAAAATTGATTTAAATAAATATTTACTCACTAAAATTGAATAGTTCTCTTCGCTGCGTTCAATTTTGTCAAATCATAACAATAAATACTAACTGGATGTAAATATACGAGAGTGCAAGCAAGTATATATAATAAAAATAAAGAAATTCAGAATCAATTCAGAATAAATTTTGAACCCGTTACTGGTACTAATACTAATAAGGCCACTATTATTATTTTAAAGGAAGGAGCCAGAAAATACGTGATTAAGAATTGATTTCCAATGAGCATTTGCCGATAATTCTTTCAAGTATCACAAGCGAAGAGTTTTTTTTGCAAACATGTTCATTTAAAACTGACTTGTAATAAATGCATCCTTTGTTATTATTATTCTAGAAAACATTGAAACAAATGCTGACATGCATATTAAATAATAAGAAATTCAGAATCAATTCAGAATAAATTTTGAACCCGTTACTGGTACTAATACTAATAAGGCCACTATTATTATTTTAAAGGAAGGAGCCAGAAAATACGTGATTAAGAATTGATATAAGGACTAACCCCCTCCCCACACCTGAACACGTCAACAATTGCGGTAAATTCTCAGTGTTGCATTCATTTCCAAATTCGATTATTGTCATATATCGATTGGTTATAATTTTTTTTTGTGTATGAACAGAATTTCCGAAAGTTGTCTTTAAATCACTACTACTCCTCCACTTTCAAGTATATAGATACAAGATGGTGTGTGTGTGTAATGAAAAGGTTTTTTATTTCAAAATTCATGAGCAAGAATGTGTAAAGTTTAGTGATTTCGATGTTTATTGATACTATATTATTCCTTTTAAGGATAATATTTCAGTGTAATATTGAAAAAATCCCGCATATCTATCTTTTTATTATTATTATTGACAAATACATTGTGCCGCAGTATTACCAATTGCATTATAAATAAAAATTCAATAAACTTTTTTTTTTGCTTAAAATATTGTTACCTAAAATTTTTTTAATTATTCAACAATAAAAATCTTCTTGCTTCAATGGATTCTAATACAAATACTACTACTACTACTACCAACAATAGTGATACTTCTAGAGACAATCAATCTGACAGACATTTTAACAATAACAACAACAATTACAACAACAATTTCAACAATAATTACAACAATTACAACAACAACCAAAGACATAGAGGTCGAGGCGAACGCTCTTTTCCAAGAAGTCATTATCGAAATGGCGGTGGTGGTGGTGGTAGCCGTGGTCGTTATCGTCAACAACAATATCAACCATCACAACAACGCAATTATCGTAATCAACATCGACGACCACAACAACATCAACAGCAAGAACAAGACACCCTTGACACTCAAGGTTCTAATGCTATCAACATTACTAAAAAAGACTTGACCATTTCTAAAGATGACAATGATTCTACTTCTAGTGAAAATCTTTGCATGATTTGTGCTAGTCGGATCAATTATTATGCACTTGGCGTTTGTAACCATAGAGTTTGTCACCTTTGTAGTTTGAGAATGAGAGCTTTGTATAAAACTAAACAATGTACTTACTGTAAGGTAATTTATTACAAAAAGAAAAAAAAAAAAAGAAGAAAACAAATAATTAACACATAAAATTAATAATGATTCTT